CTAACCCTCAGTGGAAGCGCCACCACGCTCCCAAGCAGTGCACTCTCCAGTGCGCCACCGGGCCGGCCCTTATTTTTATCTTTAAAGACAGAAACAAAATAAATGTGGAAAATCTTATTAAAGCTAACATAAATATGGTAACCATAAAGATCTTTTTTTATTTTTCCCTTAGCAATGGTTGCTCTCTCTCTTGTTCTAATGATCTGTTCTGTGGTGTGCTTTCAGGAATATCAAAAGCATGTTTGGGTGGGGCTTTTCCATACCTTCCATCACTGGGTAGAGCAGCTGATAATGATCTAAGTCTTCTGGAAAATTGACATAAGAGAAGAGATTGAAATAGGATAATTGATTACCATTTACCTATAGTCTAACACGTGTCTTTCCTTTCATTTACCTATAGTCTAACATGTGTCTTTCCTTTCACTCTTTTTCTTTCTATCCTAGAATTGATGTAACTATTTAAATCTATCATTTTTTCATTTTTTATTTGCTTGCTCATTCATTCACTTTCTTCAACAAACACAAAATTGATGGCCCAAGAATTCAAGGAACTTGGAGTCTAGTAGGGAAGTTTTAAGAAAGTGATTGACATGGATCTTTGTTGAACCCAATGCTCATGGAGAAGCAGCAGTAGAGTTTACCACTTTAGGTGGTAAGGAAATAACTGCTGAGAAATTAATTGGCTAAGTCTTATCTCAGAAAATTAATCCATTTCAACAGCAAAAGGCAATTTCTACTTCTTTTTCATAGGTGTGGGTAAGGTCTAGTTCTTTGTTTCTTTCAGGTCAGAGATTAGATCTTTTTGTAAATGGCTTAGTACCAACCCCATAGTATTTGCTGTAATATTACATGTAAATATATCTGGTTTGTTTTTCAGGTTATAATGAAGCAAATATTTAAGAACATTTAATAATTAGTATTTTTTTGCTTTTTAGTTTTAGGATATCCTTGCATGGTGAATTTATTGTATTGCCTTTGTATAATCAGAATTCTCAGAACAGCTTTATTTTTATTACAGTCGTTTGTATTTACTACCACTTGCTGCAACTCTGGGAG